CTTTAATGTTTTGTACATCATGTAACTCACTAAGAATCACAAGACTGCAGTGAGATAGACATTCAATAAATAAATGAGCAAAAATCCAAAATTCAATCTCATTAATTTAGTTACAACTTTCAATCAATCCGGAGAACAATCTGTTTTACTCAAACTGGAAGGATGAGGATATATCACCACGCTCATTCTCAGAAGATGTATTGTAACTTCTAACTATTACTTTTATCAAGTTATATAGGCCAAATACAAATTGAAACTAAATATTTACAAGAAAATTCTAAAATATAGTAATTTGTAGATTCAAAAGTATTTAAAAATCTAATTATGAAACCTTTTTATTTTTATTATTATTATTTTATTTTTCTTACTTCTGCAGTAATGTTTTGAAAAATAGGATAAAATAAATAGAATAGCACCATATGTTCTTTCTCTTTGTATAACTTTGCTGCTAGAAATTTACACCAGAAGTGCCTTCCAATACTTCATTCATCATTAGATCATATTTTCTTTGGAATTGCCCCTATTTAATTTTTCATTTGAAATAGTTTTACATTTCCACTGAAGAACATACGCGCAAGCCATCATTGTGAAAAGAAAACACTTGAAACAACCTGGCTTTTTATCAACGAAGGATCATCAGATACTGATTTATCAATAGGTGAGAAATATCTATACTTACTCTATAAGTATAACCCAATAATGATGACCCTGGCAGGGTAGTTCGCTCTCTTTACTGTTTCTCTAGGTGTCCTGATTCTGCAATAGAAACACGAAAGAACAACTCCTTGGATTATGTAAGCGTAGCCACTGTTCTTCCTTGTGGCTTTTCCCCGTGCCTCATCAACTTTATAAGTAGGCAAGATAAGACCGTTCCAAACAGCAGCGGCATCAGTTAAAAAAAAAAAACCAGAAAGGGGCTTACCTGGGTGTTAATATTCCAACGGCCTGCCCAAATTAAAGCCATGCGCTCAAGGCGAAGCAGTGTGCTCATCCACAAGACTTGGCATTATGTCCCTGATGCTTAAAGCCGAAGGTTTATATGACTGCATAGTGCAACGTGGGTGAGATTGAGACACAGTCGGATATACACAGAGGCCAAGTATGGGCAGGAGAACCGCCCCCTTGTTCTCAAGGAATGGCAGACATGTCGCTCTCGGAGGGCTTTGATCGTAAAGCGAAAATGCCCCGTCACTGACATTTGAGTGAACTTCAGAGAACTCCCAAATAGCAACATCAACAAAAGGCAGCCAATTCTCTGGTTACCAAGTTTAATAGGCACTTAATTCCGTTCAACTGTAGGGTGCTTCCAAGCCACTCTAAGCCAGCTATCTTTTCTTGAAACAAGGAATGTACTTCTCCCCGTGGCTTGCATTTCAAAGACGCTCCTGCAGACAATTATACAGGCACCCATATTTTCAGCTCGTTCCCATAAGCGGTTCCAGCTTTACATCACTGCCCTTAGGACAACTCATTGCCTAAGTGTTATTTATGTGACAAGGATATTTTTATCACCTGTTTTTCACATCTGACACAGCCAAATTCTGAGACCTACATTTTCACTGCATGTATGTATTTTGAAGGGAAGCGGGAAACAAAAGTCCTGCAGTTTCACAGAGTTACTCACGGCACGACCCAGAATCACAAAAGATGGGAGTTTTAGCCGTTTAACTCACTGGGACACGAAGCGCATCACTTAATTTGCATGCTGTCATTTGACTTACTTTCCTTTATTTTAGCCTTCCAGAATTCAGAAGAAACATTCTAGATGTTCTTTCTGAAGAGACTTGGAAAGAAAAGTACAGAAATCCTGTCAGAGGAATGGTAGGAAGACCATGTCTGTAGGCCAAGGGGAAGATCAGACAGCTGAATACTGACATACCATTTCTGGCTCTTGGGAAAACATCTTAAGGTGTGCTAGGATTGACTCAAAACTACATCTCCCTGTGAGTTGTGGTTCTGCAGCAGAGTGCAGGTTGGTGTGCAGAGGATCCACACTCAGTCCACAGCTTCTTTAGGGCAGAGGAGGACCTCGCATGGCTTCTTGGAGGTGGCCAGTAGTCATGTAATCACATTACTGAGCTAGAATGACAAGTGACCCAACAGGACAGTTCCTATCTTTGTAGGCCCCTGTATTTTCATGGTTTCTTCTGAAACCTTTAAACACACACACTTACACAAACAAGGTGATTCAGAAAGCACCATATGGAATTCAGATGCCTTTTTTGTTTTAATCTATATCTCCCAGGTAGGCTTCTCAATGTTTCCTTTGGTCAAAAAAAGAAATGTATCAAAAGAAATCTCTTTGGGCTCACTCATACATGCTGTATATGCACAAGAGTCTCATTCACTTAATGGGAGAAGCGTTCACCCAGATGTGAATCAAACTGTCCTTTCTCTGGAATAAGCAAGAACATGAAGCTGCATAAGAGGTAAATACCCTGCAGTGTCCTTTGATGACATTTGGTTTGTGCTGGATGAAGAGACTCATTTTGAGGAAGGGAGGTATTCAGTTCATTGGGGGAGGGAGTTCAAATTTCCCTTCCCCATAATGCAGAGTATTACTTTTTTGGCTTCATAATCTGTGGTACAATATCACATTAATATCTAGAAATAAAGTAAATATAATGAGATTGACACTTCAAATTATTAACCTACCTATATTTAGACCTACTGAAAGTTTTGAATATGAAAGGAGAGAATCAGGAAATGGTAAAGTCACATACTGTTTAACATTCTTCTCGATTTTTGAAATTACCATTTCAAATTCTGAATCTTATGATCAAATACATATATCAGAAATGTTCTTTGCACAGTGGATTCAGATCTCATTAAATCAGGGATGGCCCAGTTGGTAAAAAATAGTACAAGATAATGTAAACCATTCTTCACAGCTTACTGTGTTGTTATATGTGAATCAGGCCACTATGGCTTATTCAGCAAATTATGCATAAAATATTGTCAATTTACCTCCACAATAGAATCACTGTTTTTCATAAACCTAAGGAAATGGAACATATCACAAGGTTTGTTTTTCATGAGCATACTATTCCTAATCAGATTTGTTGAAGCATCTTCCAGAATTCTAGATGCAGCCATGGGAAAAAAATATCTTTTCTCTCATTCTAGCTAGTTGCATTTTGGATGTGCAGTCATGGTAACTGCCCATACAAACTGAATCTCAGTTTTTGCATTACAAATAGGAATGCTGTACTGATACGAAAAAAATGTATATGTCACTGAATCTCTAGCAGCAACTGATTGTCTTACTGAAATATTTTGTGTCATGGTGTAGGAAATAATCTTTCTATCTGGAACTGACAGGGTGACTCACTTTGTTTGCAAAATGATACCACTTTACTTGGAACCTTGTCATAAAAATACAGTGACACATTCATTGACAGTGTCAATGGAGTATTCAGAATTTTTTCAAAATGACACTTCGCGGTACACTGTTATTCTAGCCTGTTCTACTGCCTCCATACATCCATTCCTTCAGACCCAGAAAATAGATATTTTACTATCTATCTAGAGATAGGCCTCCCCATGTCAATAATTGCATTGATGATTGTATACCCAAGATACAGCCATGTGGAAAGATGGAACTGCTGTCTTAGCAAAAACATTTTCCTGGCAAAGGCTGAGGTTTCCTCAAACATCTTCTATATTTTTGAAATATCTTAGCACACCATTTTCCTTTTCTACTGCTTCTCTGACCATGTAATCGTTTTCTGAAATGAACTGATTAAATGGTTTGGCTTTTCTTTCTTCATAATTTAAACCTTTCACTGATACTGTCTAAATAGTAGGAAAAAAACCCTAAAATCTGCAGCAGAGCAACACTTTTATTAGAAGCAAATCACATGCAAAAAAGTAGGTAAAAATAATTAAATCCTAAAAATGACTCTCTCTCTCTCTCTTTCTCTCCCTCCCTATATATATATATATATATATATATACACACACACATACATACATACATACACACACACACATACATACATACATATATATTTTTTCAATGTGTATAGAAATGTGTATGGAAATCTGTATGCATTTGGCACAAGGCTTTTGACACCAATGGAGAGTAGTTTAATGTAGATGATACAAGTCACATTTTGTGGGTAGGGAAACAATAGAAAGAGGTGTTTGAGAGCAATTCCCAGGATTCTGACCAATGGCTATGCTGACTGGGGATAAAGAGCATGATAGTCCAATCCATGTGGGAAGCACTACACAGTATCACCTGCCCTGAAATAAAAACTTCCTCAGAAACATCAATGATTTAACTCTTTCTGATAACAAATGTGAAACTGGGTGGGTAAGCTGACTACCATCACGGCTTGTGTAGGCAGAGCAACGCTCTTCTTTCTCCAGCTAAAGACAGGAGTGTGTCTTCAAAACCAAATGGGTGAGAGCGGGAATAACGCCCCACAGCACAGCTTGCGTTAACTTTACATGCACAGTAGTCACTGGCACAGGAGTGAAACTGACTAGCCTTAACATCTGTTCACTAACCTTGCTGGAGATATAAACTGCAAAGACGTTTTAATATCACATTAAAAGATCCACAAACTCAAGGCATTACAGTAATAGATTTGGCTAAGGAGAGAGAAATAAGAGGTGGCATTTAGTTTCTGCTAACTTGGGGGAAGTTGATTTGTAGCAGATGGCTTGAGGGTGCCGGCCAAGCGAATCCTAAATAAATAATTACAACTAACAGTAATACTTTCCTCATTTGGGCTCAAAATGACTGGGGAAGAGCAATGCAAGAAGAGATATTGATGGGGGGTTAGTGGGGGGGGAGCTGGGAGGAGGCTAGCAAGGTAAACACTTTTATCCCCTTAGGAAGCGTTCTCATCTTACAAAGGACTTCTTTGTTTTCATCGCTTCAACCTTGAAATAGAAAGAATTCTCACCTTCAAGGTGTTTGTAGTTCAGTTCAGCTGATTAATGAATACAGCACTGACAAAAATGCCAAAGGCAGAACTACAGGCAAGAGAAGCAGCGATGAAGACTCCTCTGTCAGAACTTTGTCCCCTAAAGCAGAGCTCATGGGCAGCAAATGGATCCTCACTAGCATCACAGCGTTAATACAAACGTTTCCAACACTTTGATGCCGAGGGGAAAAAGTCAGGATAAGGCTTTTTAAATGACTTTGACAGGAGACAAAAATTCATGAAGAATTTTTGGCACCGCATTTTTTCCCCTTGAATCTGCTGGGGCCTAGGCTGGAAAATAAATAAATTTTTAAAATCTTGGAAGACAGATGTAGCAAACAATCCCCTTATTGTTGCCAAAAAAAAAAAAAAAGCTACAGGGATATGTCCATGTAGCCCGCAAGAGTCAAGTTTGACTCCAGAGATTATTAAAAATAATAGATTAAAAATATTAAACATTTGCCACAAGATCTCCCCCTGCTCAATAAGTGCAGCTTGTTTAACCCAGAACACCTGTTTGAGGAAAACACATGGGGTATCATTCCTACATTTCCTCTTGAAAACTGCAGTTTATTTTGTTTCCTTCAGTTGTCTTGGATTGTCTATTCTTTAGTCAGGTATGGAAGGATATATTTTGGCCAACCCTTCCATGGAAAAGAACTTTTCCCACCTTCGGTTTGGAAAACTGGAGCCTAAACATATGGAAAGAAAATCCATGACCAGGATATATCTTCAGTCTGATAGACAGGATGGTAGGGTATAACATCTCCAACCTTTGCCCACCATCTGCCATGGCAAAATCACCGATGTGGATTTGGATGTCATAGATGTTGTTGGATGTCCTTCATTGTGGGAGAATAATTATCCTTGGCTTCATTCATCCCTGCCAATCCATAGTGCTGTTGATGCAAAACTTACTTCTGGGCTATTATGAAGGCGATCTATTCCCATTAGCGTCCTCTTTCATTTGGGATCAACTGCAAATAATGGCTAGCCATAAAGGGTTATGAACTCCGGGGATAAGAGGTTTCTTTTGCGCAGGTTTATGTTTTTGTATACTTTTGTTTTCTTCAGGTGCTACTCTGGTTACCATAGAAAAAACCACCCCTGAGGCCTCTTGGAGCCTTCCAGGAAGGTGTGTTGTTACAGCAAGATTATATTAACTGATTACAGGCAGGTTTTACTAGAGTGAGAAAGGCAGCCTCCCTCCTAGAGATAGTTTCTGCCACACGTAAGCCACTTTTCTCGGTCAATGGATTGTTATTTGCTTCTCAAGCCAAAAAAGCAGACAGGACAATTGTAAGAAACTTGAGAAAGAAATAGAGAAAAGTGAAAACTATATGGTTTAATACCTAACTTTGTTCCTGCCTCTTGAGACACAGGTTTTTTACATATGTAATAGCCATTATTATAACCTTAACTCTACTTACTCAGTGGTTTTATTGAACTAAGTATAGCTAACATCTAAACATAAGTCAACTGGCTTAGAATCAAACACAACCTTTTGTGACAGGACTGGGTTGTTCTTTTATAACACAATAAACACAATGAGAAAACTCCACCTGAACAACCATAATAGCACAAGTAGAGTTTTACTTGTTGACAGTAATAGGCTCAAATGCTCTTTCCACCTCCTGAAATCATGCCTAAGGGAGGAGATAAAGAATCAGAGGAGGACGGCACAGCTGGTGACCTCCAAAGGTCAATGCTGGTTTTCTGCTGGCTTAGGGGACTGCCAATGCCCAACTGACCATCCCAATGACTTTTTTCCATGTGCTTGAAAGCTGGATGTGTTAAAGATATCGAGATATGCTGAAACCACAATTCTAGTATGATGAATGACAGTAGTAACTTACTGTTATGCTGCCTCCAACCATCATTCTGGTTTACGAAGAAAGCAGCTGCTATTCCTTAAAAGATATACTGAGTCTTGAAGGGCAAGACTCAGCAAATCATTTGAAACATATTCATGCTAGACGTAGTTTGGGAAATAAGATGATCTAAGCAAATATAGATATATTATGCAGTAATCAATTTACAAATATCCTGGAGATTAACCCATAAATTAATTGTCTACATGGAAGAATTTTCTAAGAAGTGCCTGTGTGGGTGTCTGAGAACGCAGTATACTGAAGAGCGTAAAATTATTTCAGCTAACAAGCAAAAAATGTGATTGATTAGCAAGCAGGCATGTTCAAGCTACCAAGCTTGCATCCTAGAAACATTTTTTTAAACATTTCATTTACAATAAAGCAACAAAGAACCTTGTGCCACTTTAAAGACTTAAATTTTATTATTTAAACTTTTGAATATTAAAGCCCAATTAATAAAAAATGAACTGTAGTCCTCTACTGCCTTTGTGCCATAATCATTTTGTTTCATCTTTAAGATATTACACAACTGTTGTATTTCATGCGACAGAGGAACACATGCTCTCCCAATTAACGAACAATGTTACATTGACAATAAACTTCGCATGGAGAGAGAGCAGTTCCTAATTTGAGCATCTCTGGGATTAGAATCTGAAAATTGCATCTGTCTCCAACCTTTAAGAGTCACTGCCAAGAAGAGAAGACACCATACAGAGAAAACTCCAATTCTGCAGTCAGTCCAGCCTTGCACAAGAGGACATCTACGGCTCACCGCCATTAAATGAATGCGAAACAGCAGAAGATGTACAGCATGAGTGTACGCATTTGTGCCCTTGCTTCTGAAACAGGTAACTGGACTGGAGGTTATAAGGATACTTCATACAGATGGTTTTTGTGGAGCTCCAGGGATTGAGGGGCTTCCCACTGCAATATCTGGTAGCTAATCCTAATTAACAAATTACGCATTCATAAATTCCTCATCCAAGTTAAATCAATGGGACAAGCTCTGCATGAACCAAAGTTAGAGCCTTTCCCTCAAGTTGGACACATTTATTAAACTTAAAAGATGTTCACGTGAGGTTCTTCATTTGGAACTCTTTGTACACTGAACTTGAATTAAAGCAAACATCTCCATTTCCTATACCCAAAGCAGAGATTTTTTTTTTGTCCTTTAGCACATAATCTGTTGGAGCACAGAATAATGAGGCTCCCCCTGCAATGTGCCACTGAAAGTACGCTTGCACAGCAGATGCACAATATTCCTGAGTCGGCACTACAGTAATGGTCTGGAAACATAAGAAGAGACTCTGGAAAGGCAAGAATTTCCCCTCCGAGGAACTGCAGCTTGCAATGAAAGCAGGAAGCTGACTCAGACATACATTGGGATATTCCCACAGTAAGTGACTATTTATCTGGAGGGACAAATACTAGTTTGTGAACCTGCCCAGGCAATCATATCCTACACAGTTCTGACTTTCTTTCTTTCTTTTTTCTTTTTTTTTTTTGACAGACATTATGATAGTTCTTGTATCAGGCAAGGCCTTTTCAATTACAGAATCGGCTCCCTCTTCACTGACTTTGCAATATGTTGTCGAGCCCTTTTTGTTTTCATGGTTCAGCAGCCAGCCCACGGTGGGCCAAATAGATGCTGGAAATACTCGCAGAGCTCGGCGGGGCAGCACTCAGAAATTACAGGTAGCTGCATTCAGAGATTTACAGTCAAGTTCAAAAGGAAAATATCTTTATCTTAGCCTAATTTCAGAGACTATATAGATCATTTCTGCATGTTTAGAATTCAGAGAGACCTGAGCTACAATACACATATCTGAGACCTTCCCCCCCCCCCTTTCCTGGGTTCACATGGATAAAGATTTACCATTTTAGACCCCACACAACAATAAAGACCCAATACAATAATAATTCATAATAATAATATAATTATTACTATTAAATTATTAAATAAAGAAATATCAATTGCCTGCCAAGCAAGAACTGGTGGGACCACAAAACAGACAAAGTTATAGAAAATGAAGACGCTAACGTGCTCTGGGACTTTAGAATTCAAACAGACAAGCACCTGCCACACAACACCCCAGATTTAA